ATTAATAAAAAAAATTTTTTTTATATAAAGACAAAAAATCAAGCTTTTATTCTATTGTTCTATTTGCCAACACTGGTAGTTACTGAGATCCTCGTTCAAAGTTTGGAAAAGGGATTATCAAGACAGCGGCTAAGTTTTTTCAAACTTTGAACGAGGATATCTCAGTGAATGCCTATTCAAAATCGATGAATTTTTTTGTTTTATTTAATTCTTTGAATTAGTAGAATTAAAATAAAAAATTTTTATCGTTTTTGGATAGGTAATTACTAGATATTCTCGTTCTAATTTGAAAAAACTTAGCCGCTGTCGTTTGATAATCGCCTTAACTTTTTCCAAACTTTGAACGAAGATATCTCGGTATCTACCTATCCAAAATCTATGAATTTTTTTTATTTTAATTTTACTAATTCATGGAATTTAATATAAAAATTTTTTTATCGATTTTGGTTAGGTAGTTATTAAGATATCTTCGCTCAAAGTTCGAAAAAAGATAGGTACGCATGTCTATGTATATAAATATGATTGGTCTGAAAATGATATACGGCACGTGACCAGTCGCTTTTTTTTCGCCTTGGCTAGGGTTTTATGTTAAATACATTTGACGTGAGATATATTAAATAATATTTGACTTGAGATATAATGCTCACATTTGAAATCTAATTACTTACGTTTAGATATGAACTCAGGTGACATTAAAGGGCTCAGCATATACGTGCCGATGACTCCGTGCAAACGTGACAGAGGAGGTTGTGATACCAATAATGATAATAAAACAGGTGAAAAATACTTGTAAAATAGTACCGTTGGCCACAGCAAAAGCTATCCCCAAAAATAATACCCGTGATTAATATCCGGGTATTATTCACCACCCCAATTCTTGAATAATACCCGGGGTCTAACTATATTTAATTTATTACTTTCATATGTGTTCTCCAAATGTTGTACCCAGTTTCTCGCACGATACCCACGGGCAGGGTTAGCAATGGAGCTCAATGGAGTCTCCATTGGTTCCATTCTCAGCCCTGGGTATTCTTCGATTTTAAGAACGAAGTTCTTGAATGAGACCACTGGTGCTGTATTAAAAACCATACTAAACTAATTCGTCTAATAATATATGGTTTTTTCTTGTTGCACAATGCGTAGTTTGGAAAAACCATTAGGTTTTTTTAATTTAATAACCTATATATGTACGTATATGGAATGGTAGAAATTTTATTATTTAAAAGCAATGTCTCCCGTCTCCCTAAATTTAATTCTCTACTTAATTCTCTTTTAATTGAAAAGTAACATTACATTAGTTATTTCGTAAGAAACCACTTTCTTTTTTTTTCTTTTTTATAAGAGGAATTAATTAAAAATTCATATGTATACTTTATAGGAGATACGCCTTCTTGCGATTGGATTGAGCTAGATTACCTTTGTTGAGCAATTTTACCACACAAACTACCTATTTCTAACCCCAACCCTGTTATGACAACAAGAACAAGTAAAACTGCTAAGAGCCGTGGTTTTCGCTTTGTGAATATCACCCCTAACGTCACTAGGTCTGGTTCTCCCTCTTGTGTAAATGGACGCTCATTGTATGTCTTCAATGATGAACAGTTGTACACTTTTCAAGTTCCATACCAATTGACATTAAATGAAAAAGACTTAATTTATCCTTCAAGTCGCTCAAGAAAAACCGGCGACCCACCGGATAGCTTTCTTCTCTTTCGTAAGGATTTTGTAGCAAAATATCAGTTACTTCATCAAAACGAAACGATTTGCCCAAAAAAAATTTCATCATTAGCTGCGGCAAGGTGGAATGAACAACCACCTCCGGTGAGATTTTTTTTTAAACAATTGGAGCTAAAAGCAATTAAAAAACATTATGAAATGTATCCCAGAAATAGATAAAAAAAAAAAAAAAATCCCAAAATTTTAGAAGGTTTTGTGACTCCGCAGTCACGAGACCCAATTTTATGATATTTTAGAGACGAAGGTTTTCGATAATGGCACTTACGACGTGACGAAGGTTTTCGATAATAGTGTAATGCATTAATTCATGAAGAAGCTTCCTTTGATTATAATCATAATCATACATTCCTTACCTGCAACGATTTTTGTTTCTATTTTTTCTGCATTTTTTTAAAACTGACAATTACTTTTGGGAACCCTAATTTTTTTTTTAAAGAAACCCCCTTTTTTTTTCTTTTACACATATCTTATAGTAAATATATACGTAAGTTTATATACATATGATAATTAAATAGGTATTTCACGTGGTTGGTTGTGATAGATAATTATTATTAAAAAAACTAAATAAGCTCATATGTATTAAATACTTAAGTCAATAAATACTGATATGAATAAAGTGATTGAGAAATTAATTAATATTTTGATGCTCACTTGATAATTGCCAGTTCTGAATATTTTATTAGACTTATAATTGACTTTTGATTGGTACTATTCTTCAATGAAAAAATAAACCTATCTTAGCAATATGCAAATTCTCCTCCGATATTGCTATATAATTTACTCCACCTAATAGAATTATATCCTCAAAAAATTTCATCTGTGCCTTCAACTTTTATAACTAACCCGATGTTTTTTATTTTATTACATAATTTCCAAAATGCTTTAATCGTAAAACTATCTCTACTTTCACGAAGTAATTAAAAGTTAAAAGGATTATTTGCTGCCGAATATTTTCTGGTTCTATTATCAATCCATGATACAATTTTTACTCCATCTTCTTCGTTAATAACATTTGAAAATTCATCTGTTGCCCTAAGTGATGTTAAAATTACATGAGGTGGAAGAATCTTTGAAGATATTCGACCATTGGATACTTAAGTTTCTTGCTAATATCTTTCCAGAGATCTTCGCCTAAAATTCATTTGTACGGTTGTATAATACTGGTAATGTCATCTTTTGATATTTAAAAATAGGTATTCAGTAAAGTAGTACTGTACGGCAGTATAGATTCAGACGGACGTACGAAATGATACTAAATTTTGATCGTACGTATAGTTAATATATTAGACATCACATTCAAATTTTCGTCAATTAATAATCATACGTGAGTTTAAATTTTATACCGATTAAAATGTAACGTACAGTACATACATCAACTATAAGATGTGTCTAATAAAAGTATTTTTAATTTAAAAGAATTT